TTTCCCATCTTTCCTTCTTTTTCTTTCTCTTTCCTCTTTCCCTTTCTCCTTTGCTGTCTTCTTGCATGCTCAAATGCAAAAGGGGAAACCTTTCATCTTTTGTTTTGTTTTTAGTTTGCTTTGCTAGCCCTCGCGGGAGCTGTAGGAGGCCACCGCAGCCAAAAATAGGACCCAGGAGAACCGTGTGCAGCCCTCCCAAACTCCATTTTTGCTGGCAAAGGTACTGCAGGCTGGTCATTTGCTGTTTTCAGGCCAGATCTAAGCACCCTGTGGGCCAGAACCAGCCCGCGGGCTTTGAATTTGATACCCCTGGACTAGATCATTTGTGAAAACATAATGACTCCAGGCTGACTTCTCTCTTGACTCCACTGTAGGTTCTGCCTGTCCTTCTCCTTCTCCTACACCTTCATCCTTCTACTACACACAGCCTGGGCTGAGTATATTCTTACTTGCCTCCCACTTTGTTATGTTTAAAGTGTTTTTGCTTCTTGATCTGAAAATAAGCAAAACACAGGAAAATTTCCCTAAGGATTCGTTTGAAATGTAGCAAAGAAAGCTGCAAATCTCTGGAGAGATCAAGGGTATCTCATTACCGTGGCACAGGCAAGAGTTCTTTGCCCTTATTATGACTTTTTCACTTTCGGGGAAGAAATCAAAAGCGTTCCTTTTCGGTTCAGTTAAAATGATAAAAACAGAGGCAGAATTAATTTAATACACAGCATTTGCATCATCACTTAATCCAAGACTTGACACACAGAGAGCCACAATTACAACGTTGCATCTTTCCACTGGATGCATCCAAATTTATCCCCTGCTTTTTGAAGAGATGCCTTTGAGCGAGTGTTGACTCCCAACAGTCGCCTGGACAAGTCCCTGCAGTTTCCTTGGCAAGATTTCAGAAGTGGTTTGCCGTTGCTTGCTTCCTAAGCCTGAGAGAGAATGTCACACAGTGCTCTTCACATCAAAGGCAGGAACCGAACAGAATAACAGAGTTGGAAGGGACCCTGGAGGCCTCCTAGTCCAACTCCTTATTCAGACAGGAAGCCCTATATCATTTCAGACAAATGGTTTTCCAATCTCTTCTTAAAAACCTCCAGTATTGGAGCATTTACAACTTCTAGAGGCAAGTTGTTCCATGGATTAATTGTTTTAACTGTCAGGAAATTTCTCTTTAGTTCTAGGTTGGTTCTCTCCTTGATTAGTTTTCATCCATTGCTTCTTGTCCTGCCTTCTGGAGAATAGCTTGACTCCCTCTTCTTTGTGGCAGCCCCTTAGATATGGGAACACTGCTATCATGTCACCCCAGTCCTTCTTTTCATTAAACTAGACACACCCAATTCCAGCAACCGTTCTTCATATGTTTTAGCCTCCAGTCCCCTAATCATCTTTGTTGCTCTTCTCTGCACTCTTTCTAGAGTCTCCACATCTTTTTTACATCATGGTGATCAAAACTGGATGCAGTATTTCAAGTGTGGCCTTACCAAGGCATTACAGAGTGGTATTAACACTTCATTTGATCTTGAACACACCATAACAGATAACAGATAATCAGAGTTGGAAGGAACCTTGTAGGTCATCTAGTTCAACCCCCCGCCCAAGCGGGAGACCCTACACCATTTCTGACAGGCCAGAAATCTCTGACTGGGCGGGACTAGATCACTCAGAAAGATGGAGGGCAATAGAAGAAGGGACAACAGAGAATGAGGTGACTGGATGAAGTCACTGAAGCAGTAGGCCTGAGCTTAAATGGACTCCAGAGGATGGTAGAGGACAGGAAGGCCTGGAGGAACCTTATCCATGGGATTGCGAGGAGTCAGACACAACTTCACAACTAACAACAACAGGACCACTCAGGTTTTTTCAGCCCAACTTTCCTCACAGTGTTGGAATACCTTATATGATACTTTGAGCTCAGAGAAAAAACATTTCATGAAGTGTTTGGCTGGTTGCTATTAGAAAATGGAAAGCTCTTAAAAAAAAACCCCAGAGGATGTTCCAAGAATGCATTTCTTAAAAGTAATTTATGCAATGATACACCCTCGTTTAGAATGTAGGACAAACATTTTATTCTCATCTCCTCTTCTAAACTTTTCACTTACAGCCAGGAATGAATATTCTCTTTTAAAAACAATATGCAACAAATAGCCACCTAAAACCCTTTGGGGCAGGGGCAGGGGTAGAGTCCTGTTGATTCCTGATGACTGCCTGGACTGGTTTTTGTTGTTGTTTGCAAGATTTCAGAAGTAGTTTGCCATTGCCTGCTTCCTAGGGCTGAGAGAAAGTGACTGGCCCAAAGTCACCCACCAGGCTTTATGCCTAAGGAAGGACTAGAACTCACAGACTCCCAGTTTCTAACCTGGTGCCTTAACCACTAACCAAACTAGCTCTCATTTCTATTATAATAGGACCATTTGATTGTAGATTACCTTCTTGTTTTGCATTGCCTGAGGAAAGGAATATAGGTCGTCCTCAAGTTATGACCATAATTGAGCCCAAAATTTTTGTTGTTGAGAAATTTATTAAGTGAGTTTTGCCCCATTTTATGATTTTTCTTGCCACGTTTGTTAAGTGAATCATTGCAGTCATTAAATAAGTAACACGGTTATTAAGTGAATCTGGTTTCCCCATTGATTTTGCTTGCCGGAAGATCGCAAAAGGTGATCACATGATCCCAGAACATTGCAACCATCATAAATTTGAGTCAGTTGTCAAAAGCATCTGTCTGTAAATCATGTGGCCATAGGGGTTACTGTAATGATCGTAAGTGTGAAAAATGGTCATAAGTCACTTTTTTCAGTGCCGTAACTTTGAACAGTCATTAAGCAAACTGTTGTAAGTTGAGGACTACCTGTACAGTCATACCTTGGTACTCGACTTTTTTGAAGCTTGTCAAATTTGGTACTCCATTCATTTTGATGTGAAAATGTTGTCTTGGTACTTGTCATTTGTTCAGTACTTTATGCACAAACTAGAACATATTGGTGTTGGCTGCCTAATGATTCACCACCCTTTACAACCAAAATGAAGGGTGTGTCAGCGTTCCAGCAAACCTCCATTCCAATCAGTAACACCAAGACAAACATATCTCAAAAGTACCTTTATTAGAATAGCACCTGGCACATCTGTGGAAACCCGAATCTAAAAGTTTTTTTCAGCTTTCCACAATTTCCCAAACTGCAAATCCATCCCCCCTTCGCCGTCATCACATCACATGGCCCAATCACGATCCGTCCAAAAGTAAGATCCTGATTTCATCCTGCACCATACTCAATGACCTTGAACTAACAGAAGAATTTTATTTTGTCTATTTAGAGCTACTTAATTGAAATCACCCCCCTCCCATTTTCTCAGGCAATGTGGCAGCCTGGAATATGGCTTCCCAAACTGACAGGGTGATGCATCAGACACATGGTTTGTTTGGTACTCGTAGCTTTTAGTACTCATCGAACCTCCCAGAACCAACTGACAAGTACTGAGGTACCACTGTATAGTTAATCTTCAGTTTTAATGCATTTTTTTTTAACCAAACCCCATCCAGTGCAGAATATATGGTTTTGAAGTACAGATGCTTCAGATTGGATTGGCAAACACTTAAAGCCACCGTAATAGGATTCTTAATCATGTTAAATTGCTGCTTGACATCACTTATTACAACCAGGGCTGGGCTGCTGGGGGTTCACTGGGGTTCGGGAGATCTTCTAGCTAAGATTCTGCACAGTTCAGAGAACCCCCAAATCCCACTCCTGGCTGGCCCCGCCCACCCTGCCCGCCCCTCCCAGGAGTCCAAATGTGGCCCGTTTTTTGGATGCAGGTAACTGCAGGGTGCACACGGAGGTTCGGGAAGGGTGAAAAATGGGCCTCCCAGAAGTTCGGGAAGGCTGAAAATGGACCCATTTCCAGCTTCCAGAGAGCCTCCGGACCCCCAAGGTGGGCAAAAATCCCCCCCCCCGCCACCCTGGTACAGGAGGCTGGCTAGGCCACGCCCACCATGGCCACGCCCACCCAGATACTGGGTAGAGAACTCATTGCTAAAAATTTTGAAGCCCACCCCTGGTTAGAACTACTGCCATTACTACTTGCTAGATTTGTACCCTGTTTTCGCACAGGGTGGTTTACACTAAGACGCCCCCCCCCACACACACCATCGTATTCCCAGAACAATTCTATTAGACAGTCTGAGATTCAGGGACCGATACTAAGTCACCCAATCTATTTTGATGATTGGTGCAGAACAGCGATAGTGGGGACAAACGTGGCTAATAGGCTATTGTTTGCTACCACTTTGAAAGCGGAAAAGGAATATCTATCCCACTGCCCCAACCAAGAGAGAGAAAGAGTGAGAGACAGAGATTAAATAGGATAGATAGATGACAAGAGAGGAGGGGGAGGAGGAGTCAACTCTGTACACAATCAAAGAGGAATTTGTGGTGGAATTATTTAACAACTGTAAAGGGGACTGTTCAGTATATTAATTGTTGGAATTCATGTTTTGATTTTTTTTTTTTCTGTGAGCTCAAAATATCGTATAAGGGGTCTCAACTCTATTGGCTCATTAAGTTGGGCTGAAAAAAGTGAGTGGCCCAGTCCCACCCAGTTATCTCGAGTCCACATCCAACATTTTAACCAGCAGTTCATTCCAGTAATTGCAAGCAAGAGCAAGCTGTTCTGAAGATGCGTGGAGTGAAAACTGAAAACATGCTAACAGGTTCAAGTAAATGCCACCTTATCTATTTTTAAATACATAATCCAAGTCCTCCGAAACCTGAGCAGGCGTATTCTGTTCCCATTTGTCTAGACAGTCATTTTAGAAAATACATTAAGTTCAGGGCACAGCTAGTTGACAGTCCCAACTGCTGCATTAACGAGCTTGAACGGCTGCTCGTTTATTTATTTCCTTCTCTCTCTCTCTTTCTCTCTTTTAAATGAAACTAAAATGACATTTATAGAACATTATTGCTGATAAAAAAAAATTAAACCTCTTGGCATGCTGCCATTGTCAGCTAAAAATAAAGTTCATCCCTTCCGTTCAGCAAGGAGAATTGGAAAGTTGTGGGTTACAGTTGTGTTTTAGGGAGACCAAAATGGAGGCAGCAGAAGGAATTATAAACCTAACCATAACTATACTGTGGGATTGTGAGACTGATAAAGCTGTTAATAGTGGGTGACTACTTTTTTCTAATTTCACAATGTGGATAGGCAGGAAGAGGTGATGAGTTCCCATTGGCTATTGATGTCTGAACTTTTCTTTTCTTTTCAAGTTTTATTTCTTTTATTAATATAATATATAACAATTCAAGTTCAATCAAACAGTGTGTTGTCTGGGTACAATTGTTTTTAGGCAATCATAATCAAGGTATTTATAATATCATTTATCACAATAACATTAATACTGTATAAATAATATTTTGTTTGTCCATTTTAACAAATTCCCATTTTAACATTTATCCTTTTTATGTCCCTTTCTTTCTAACTTCTATTTTTATTGTCTAGCCGTTGAAAAAATGGTCCCATGTCAAAAAATATTAAGTTTCTTCTTTGTCCTTAATAGTAAGGGTTAGTCTATCCATTTCTGCACATTCTAGCATTGTTAATTACATTATCTGTCGGGATCTCATTGAACTTCCATTGTTGAGCATATACAATTCTAGCTGCAGTTTATACATGTAAGATCAAGTATATAGTCTATCATATTTTTCTGGTAGAATTCCCAATAAGAATATTTCTGGTTTCATGCCTGTATGCTGTTTTATCATTTTTTCCAACCAGGTATGTATTTTCATCCAATATTTTTTAGCTTGTGGACATGTCCAGCACATATGGTAATATGAACCAGGAGTTTTATTACATTTTCAACATTTAGCAGATCTATCCTTATACGTTTTCACCAATCTCGTTGACATAATCAATTTAACATTTCTATCCCACAGTTTCTGCCATTTGTCTAATTCTATTACATATCCAATTTTTTTTTAGCCCAAACAATGCCTGAACTTTTCTGATGCACAGGTGGTCTAGATCTGAGATTTTGAGTTGAAGTTTTACCAAGGTGAATGCAATTTCAGCTTTTAGCAGGATTATGGATATTAGTTTGTTTCTTAAATTTACATGACCCCCATCTCACTGTTTTGAGTGAGTCTGAGTGGCTTACAACAACACAAATGCATAGATATAAAAGCAATGAAAACATTAAGTTTAACAATAACTAAATAAGTAAAAGGTTAAAACCAAGGGCATGAATTGGTATGGGGGTGGAAGTGTACTCATATTTACCCATGCCGATGTGTTCTGAACCAACTGTAGCTTCTGGGTGGCTTTCAGAAACAGTCCATCCATAGCACACTGCAGTAATCTGGCTGGGATATGACTAATGCATGAGAAAGTGCAAGCAGACTGAAAGATAATTCCTTGGAAGATCAACAGGATAAAGAGTTGAATCAAACCTCGTCTGAGGCAGAAATATTAGAATATGAAGAAATATTGAAATATAAAACGAGGAGCCAAGAGATTGACTTGGATAATGACTCTTTACAAAAGAGCATTGCTGAAGCTTCAGAAAGCCTTTGAGATGAGAGAAAAGAAAAATTGAAGAGTGTAAAATTTGGGACCTACAGAGAAGGAGCCGGTGTGATGGAGTTCAATGAAGTGGCAGTTTCCCAGGAATGAGGGAGCACCCCCCCCCCAAAAAAAGAGCAAGACAAGAGGTGGCACAACCCAGAATGGGAGAGGAGTCAGAGGAAGAAAGTAAACCTTATGTGTATTTATAGGTAATATACAGAGGGGGTATTCAGCAGGTTCTGACCAATTCTGGAGAACCGGTAGCGAAAATTTTGAGTAGTTCAGAGAACCGAAAAATACCACATCTGACTGGCTTTGGCCCCATCTATTTTCTGCCTCCCAAGTCCCAGCTGATCAGCTGGGTCTTCTTTTGTTGCCCTGCACAGGACAATGGAGCTGGAAAGCAGGTTAGTGGGGTGGGGAGGTAATGGAGATTTTACAGTAGCCTTCCCCTGCCACGCCCACCAAGCCACACCCACAGAACCGGTAGTAAAAATATTTGAATATAGTATGTATAGGAGTATATACTATATTACCAGTTTGAAACTGGTAATATAGTATGTGCTCCTTAGTAAGACCACCCTTAGAATACTGCACCCCTATTATAAAAAGGATGTTGAGATTCTGGAAAGAATGCAGAAAAGAGCAACTAGGATAATTAGAGGGCTGGAGGCTAAAACATATGAAGAATGGTTGCAGGAATTGGATAGCTTAGTGAAATGAAGGAAAGGGGGCGACATAATAGCAGTTTTTGAATATTTAAGGGGCTGATACAAAAAAGAGGGTATCAACTTTATTCTCCACCCGAAGGAAGGACAAGAAGCAATGGATGGAAACTAATCAAGGAGAAATTAAACCTAGAACTAAGGAGAAATTTCCTGACAGTTAAGAACAATTAACCAGTGGAACAACTTGCCTCCAGAAGTTGTGAATGCTCCAACACTGGACGTTTTTAAGAAGAGACTGGACTGCCACTTTTCTGAAATGCTTATAGGGCCTCCTGCTTGAGCTGGGGACTGGACTAGAAGACCTCCAAGGTACCTTCCAACTCTTTCATTCTAGACTACATTAGGCCACATTATATGCAAAGGATGTCAACTCATAAAATATTTCTATGGTCTTTTTAGAGTTGCCAACTGAAAGAGCAGTGCAGTAGCTTGGAAATCAAAAGTGCATTCCATAAATAGTTTTTCAAAGATAGTAACTGGATGACTGAAGTTTCTGCCGTGCAAATATCTAACTGGAAAACATGATTGATGACTCTTGGCTATGGATGTGTCCCATTGGAGAATATGAATTATGATACATCCAGGGGGTGGGGGGAAAAAACCAGGGTCAAGAGTGTCAATGAACTATGTGTCTCAGAGTCAGCTACACCCAGGCAGTGCCTAACAATTTAACTCCCAATAAATTCTTTTGAAGTTTTGGAAATTTGGCTTGAGACTCATGATTTAATTAGGGTAACTGCCGGAATCCTGACAAAGGGTTTGTGAGACTTGGAACACCACAAACTAAAAACAAACAGTATGATGCAGTTTGCAAATTAAAGTAAATGCAATCATAGGTTGCATCAAACAGCCAGTCACTCTCTCTCAGCCAAATTCACTCCATGGGGTTGTTTCAGGGAAAATAGGAGGAGGGAGGTGTGTTGGATATGTTCGCTGTCTTGAGTTATTTGTAAAAATAACAAAGGTGGGGGTATAAATAATCAAATAAATAACAGTACAGATCCTAACTTGGGAGGAGTGATGTGATAGGCATCATAGAAACTTGAGGAGGACGGTACTCAAGATTGAGACACAGTGCTAGAAAGCTACATTTTATTCAGGAAGAACAGAAAAGGTGAGAATGCAGCACTGAATGTAAAGAAAAAAATATTTGCACAGAAAGAGTGCAGCTGGTTATAGGCAAGGCAACTGGAGGAAGTTTCAGAAAGAAAGAAAAGGAAGCAAGGAAGGAAGGGATGGAGGGGAGGAAGGAAGGAAGGAAGGAAGGAAGGAAGGAAGGAAGGAAGGAAGGAAGAAAGAAAGAAAGAAAGAAAGAAAGAAAGAAAGAAAGAAAGAAAG